CACTCCAACCCTCCCCCTTTTATACAAATAGCAGCATACTGCATACATTGTTTTACATCTCACTTTTTCATTTAACAATATAGAGTGATGATGTGTTTAAAGCATAAATCTGATCACCTCAGACCCTAAAACCAAAAAAACCTTTTTTGGTTTTTCCCACCTTTGCCATTACTCTTGTTATAAATCCATAGTTCTTTAATGTCGTAGCCTATGGGCGGCATATAGTGTCCATAAATATTTTGCTTGGCTCACATGGTGTTTTACAAAGTTAGAATTCAAACATCTTTAGACTGGCCATGCCCTATTTCATTTGCTGCAGACTCCACCATCCTCTGTTGTATTAACCCACCTCCCATCACTTACTTCCATTACCTGCCCAGCTCCCGTAGGCCTTGACGGCTGTGCTGCCTTCCTCTCCAGCCTCAGCTGCAGCGCCTCAACCCTTCTTGCTCTGGCCACATTAGCTGCCTCTCAATTCCTTCAGTGCCCTGAGCTCCTTCCTGCCGCAACAGGCCACACAGACCCTCTGGCAAAGCTGCCAGTGTTTCATCTCCTTGAGTTGCCTTTTCCTCCTTTTGCACCTGTCTGATGTCTGTGTACCCTTCAGGACTCACATTCAAGGTCACTCCCTCCGGGATGCCATCCCTCACACCCCGAGGTTAGCCATCCCTGATATATGCTTTCCTGGCACCTCTTTATTCTCTCTCATAGCACTTATCACACTTGGACCAACTGTATGTTGTCAATTCTAACATGCATATATTTTTCACATTTTAGTCTTTCTGAATCTGGCAGATGTCTTAGAATTAATGGTGACTTGCAATTAATGGTGCAACTTGAAATTAATGGAATTTTAGAGGTGATGTAACTGAGTGAATATTTATCTGTAAAAACCTTTGTTTAATGTCAGTCTCTCTCACTAGAGTTTAAGTGGCGTGAGGGCAGGGGCTGGGGCTTTCTTTCTTCCCCTGTAACCACAGCACCAGCACAGGGTCAGGCATGTAATGGATGCTTAGTAAGTACTTGTAGACTGACTGAATGGACAAGGGGGTAAAGGAGGACCTTGTTTTATGGATCCTGAATTGGCCTCTCTCAATCTTTTAATTTTCCAGGATTTCATGAGTTCGTGTTCTTCCTTGCCTATATCCTTTAAGGCTTTGAGAATTTGCTCTCTTCCCCTTAATCTTTGTCTTATAGACTGAAGAGATTTTACTAGCTTAGCATGTCTTCATGAAGAAACCACTTCATCTTTTTGGTCATTTTCTTTAGTCATCTCTGTGCTGTTTGCAATTGTCTATACTATCTTAAGTTGGGACGAGATAGTGTTTTCTGATTCGTTTCCTGTCCTCTTCCTGATAATTTCCTGTTTTGTTAATACCTTGGATTATTGTAGCCATGAGGCTGGTATTTAGCAAGAATAATCCTCTCTGTCCTTTAGTCTTGCTTTAAAAGTCTTGCTTTAAAAAACTATGCTTTGTAGATCTCTAGGGTCCCATGGAAGTGTGCAGGAGCTCTGCAGAACAGTTTAGAGATCAAATATGGTTGCTTGTGTGAAAATTATTCATTCCTATCCTTACTTTTTCTTCTCTCTGAATTATATGCTCATTTCATTCAGTTGGATTGAATTTATTCACAAGTACAATAAAGGATCATGCCAAAAGTAGAATATAGAGTGAAGTCTTGCTACCTATATCTTGAAACGTATTGCATTTGCTTTGGGGTATCCCAGAGAAGAAAATAATAAAAGAGAGAAGAATTTTATTGCAACCATCCCCACTCTTATGGCTTAAATGCTATCATTATCATTAACTCAGATCTCATACATCCCAGATTATTATACAAACTGGTATAAATTTTTCTTTATTACCATTTTGACCTTGATTGTTAAACTTAGAAAAACATTCGTTGGCCCACAAATACTTTTGTTTAACATAAAGGTTATGTGACCTTAACAATTTTTGAAAATTGATTTTATTAGGTTACTTTCCAGACGCATAAGTGAGAAGTCAGAATCTATAATCTATACTTGAGTATTATTTGTATTATTTTCCTCCAGAGGCGTTATATTCCTCTTTCCAATAGGGAAGCTTCGGCTGGTTTTCCTGCTCCCATGCATGTCGATGACATCTTCATTCCACAGTCTTCCTGCCCTGCCTGCCCCCTGCTCATCTGGCGTTTCCCAGCCTGCAAGAGCTTAGTGTTGCCTGAAAACTTGTGGGTCTCCCATGCTTTGTCTCTTCTGGATTAGCTATAAATGGGTTAAACAAGACGAGTTCTCCCCTGATCTCTGACAGTGCTGCAGTTTTAATTTTTATTTAAAAAGTGCCAAAACATGATAAAACATTCCTCCTTATCTTTCAATACCTATTTAAAAAGTAACAGTCTGTGTGCAATCAAGAATTTTTGAAAGTCAAAATGTGTGCACAAATTTTATATTGATTATGCACTTTTGCTCCAGAAGTTGTAATTAGTACATAAATGTTTATATATAAAATATACGTACATACATAAATATGTATATGTATGTGTGTATGTGTGCATATATAATATATTTTGGTATATATGATATGTATTTATACATACACACAAAAACACACTATGCTAGCTGTAAAAATGTCTTTTTATTTTTGAAACACAGCTAGTAAACAGAGACAGCATAGGCGTGTGGTCAGAAAGAAACACCCTGGAAGTCAGAAAGCTAAAGCTTCCAACTTAGCTGTGTCCTTAACTGAGTGTCTGACCCGGGGCAAGTTATTGGGCCTTCTTGGGCTTCCACTTTTTTCATTTGTAATAACAGAGGGTAGGATTAGATCAGTGATTCTCTATGCTGATTGTATATTAGAAGCACTTGGTGAACTTTAGAAAATGCAGGTGCCTAGGCCCTACCAAGAGATTCTGATTTAATTTTTAAAAAAAATCTCCCCTGTGAATCTAATGTGCAGTCAGGGTAAAGAATTGCCAACTGGACAAACCCTAGGCTCTCTCTAGGCCTGTGAGTCTCTTGCTTTGTTTTTCCTTCCTAGGACAGTTGCATCATGCCAACAGAGCCCTGTAGACTCAGCGATTCCTTTTGTTGGATTCATCCAATACACATGATTATACAGAATGCTGAGTCGAAGAGTCCTTAGTGGCAGCATCCCGATCCCTCTATGTCCCCACATGTGGTATCTACCTGTCCACTCAAGTGTGGAGACTTCCGCAGTCACAGTCCCCTACCATTCTCTCTCTGTAGTTGAGGACACTTGAGTTTCGTGCTCCGTAGCAACGGTCTGTTGCGGGAAAGGATGGGAGCTTCCGGTCCATGTGTTTTGTTCCTTGTGGCCTTGAACCAGAATGCCATAGTTTACTTCTCATCACCAATCTTTTTGCCAATCAACCTTTTCAAATATTTTGATCTCTAAGTCCCTTCTCTTGACCACCCTGTAACTTTTAATCCCTTTAACCCCTGAAGTAACCAATAAATACATTTTATTGACACAGTAGTTAATTAAGAAAAGGATAATAGTTTTTAAGCACATTAGGTTCTAATCACCTATGAACCTATGGGTTGACCAGTGAATACATGATACATGTTCTTAACACAATAACAACCTAAAAAAAAAAGAATAATGAATTTCAAGTATATTAGGTTTCCCTCCTCGAAAACGTTTCTTAGTTCTAGTTCTTTCCCCACTCGTACTGCCACCACCTCAATTTAGGTCCATCTCCCTTCATTCCAGTTTCTTCTCCTTCTATAATAATAAGAATAGTGGCCATTGTTGATGGTAGGTCCTGTGATGAGTACTTTCATTACCTCATTTAAACCTCATAAAAGGGGGTTTAAAGATGAGCAAACCAGGGCTCATAGAGCTCAAGATCTATTGAGTGGCAACAATACATTTACTAAATGCTGTCTGTACGTTATCTCACTCAATCCTTCAGGTGACCATTTTACCAAAAACTAAATTGTGGATTTCAGTGTTCCATACTTGCCCACAGTCACAAAGCTAGTAAATAGTGGAATTAAAATCTAGGCCATCTCAACCACTAAGCCATGCTGCTACTACTTTTTGGATTATTACTGTCACTGTCCTCATTTTACAGATGGGTAACTGAGGCACAGAGAGATTGAATAACTTGCCTGAAATCACCAAGCTAATAAAAGGCATAGTCGGGATTTGAATCTAGGTCTTTCTGATTCCAAAGCCTGAGTTGCCAGCAGCATACTCCGCTGCCTCCCGCTCTTCCCTTACCCACTGCACCCTGTCTGTGCATCATACCTCACTCAAGCCCTCCCTGAACACTGCTTCTTTTGTTCTTGCTATTTCTCTGCTCAGAAACAGTCTGTGTCTATTTCCTAGGCCTGAAGTCTTTATTTATTTATTTGGACTTTAAAGGCCCTCTGAGGTCTACACCCCTTACCCCTTATTCCCACAGTACTGAGAAGCCATGGCCTTCTCGGTCAGCCTGTCTCCCTCACTGTCCCACCAGCATGCCAGACTTCTGTCTCCAGACATCTTTCATATTGTTCCCTTCATCTCCTCAGCCAGTTTTTCTTGAATACGTGTCCTGTGCTAGCAAGGTCTGGTGAAAGGCCTGAATCTACCTTCTCTGTACCGCTCAAGGCCACCTCTCTGGACAGCCCCCCACCCCGTTCTTCCTCCCTTTCTTTCTGGGTCTCTCCCATCTGAACTCCTTCCAAAGCTGGGGTGCAGAGTGGACCCTCATTATGGAGTCTTTCTGTCTCAAGTCATAAGGGAACTCTTTGAGGGCAAAGACCGTGTACAAACAATCCTGAGCATATGGTACTGGCTTAATAAATAGGCATTGAATGAGTTATTAATTTGTGATAATAGCGCTTTTCTCCTCAAATCAAATTGTCTGCTATTATGTTAATTCTAAGTCTAGAAAAACAAATTTTTTAGATGTTGATTTATAGGAATTTTTTTGAAACATGTGTCATTGTGCTTATTTTAAGGGCTGATAAAACTGATCTTTTATAACTATTGCTGTTCTCCCAGTAAATGTCCCCTCGACGGTAATGGAAGCCATGTGCAGACAAGACGCCCTGCAGCCCTTCAACAAGAGCAGCAAACTGTCCCCGGCCACCCAGCAGCGCTCCGTCGTTTTCCCACAGACTCCGTGCAGCAGGAGCTTCTCCCTCCTGGACAAGTCTGGGCCCCTTGAGTCAGGATTTAACCAAATCAACGTGAAAAACCAGCGAGTCCTTGCGAGCCCAACTTCCACAAGCCAGCTCCACTCGGAGTTCAGTGACTGGCATCTCTGGAAATGTGGGCAGTGCTTTAAGACTTTCACGCAGCGGATCCTCTTACAGATGCACGTGTGCACGCAGAACCCCGACAGGTAACCCCCACCCTCACTGCTCACGGTGTGTTCGCTTAGTGACACCCACTGCTTGCCTTCCCGCAAGGTTCCAGGCACCTCCTCCAGCTGCACCTCAGGGACAACCCTGTGATAAGAGGTGTCTGCGTTCTGGAAGGTCAGAGAGTAATAAATGTGAGGCCACTGCTTGACTGTATTGTTTAGACATGTTCCATGAACAGTGGCTGCAGACAAGAATCAGCTCTTGCTTTCCAAACTGTCCAAGTCTTAGGGGGAGCAGAGTAGAAGGAACACTTATGAATATCATAGATGGAAAAATGAGGTCATGATAATTAGAATCCTCTCTGTCTTCCAAAGATAATATAGCTGGCTGCTCTGCTGCTGTCACAGCCGTTTCAGGGTTCACCTCCAGTGTGCCGTGGGTATGAACTTAATTAAGTACTAAGAGGTAATGAATTGGAATTTTTTGCTTAGTACTATTTTTCTTCAGAGCATGCAAACCCATAAATCCTGCAAAGCTGTCAAAAGGAAATACCTACTCTGCTAGTGATGTGGAGGAAAACAGATGCCACTTATTCAATAAACTAATATCCACACAGAAGAAAAATGTTGACTAGATACCTCAGAGTCAAAGTTGGTTTGAAAGTTTGTCAATAAAGAATTTTATGGCCATGAACTGAGGATGAAATTTAGCTGAACAAGTGAATTAAAATTTCAGGTACTCTGACGAGTGGCACAGTAGATATAATGGAACTATTATTTATGAATCAAAACTGGTTTATTCGACAGTCTTGATAGCTGGGAGCGCAAAAGACAAAAATCAAATTAATTCAATAAGAAAGGATTGTGTTTTCTCTCTCCTTCATGTCCTACGAAAATTTGATTAAACCCAAATATCTAAGAATAGCATTGAAAATGCACTTTGAATATAAAAGTAGAAAATGATTTTTGGAAATAGGGTAGGAGACTCAGAAGCAAGACTTCTGAATTATTTTCTTAATTTGGCCATCGATTAATCTTAAGCCTCTCCATTCTCCTTGCCTTGTAATATACAGCCAGCTCTCCCCTCCCGGCTCTGCAGGATATGACCTAGCTAGTGCTGGAAAACACTAGCAGGGAAGGTGGGTGGCGTAGAGGGGGTGGATCTTTTCTAAAGTAATAATAATCCATTTTAGGGTACATATGCACATTTACACGTGTGTATGTTTTTATTTGTCCCATTCTAGAAACCACTTGCTTAGCGTCAAGCATTGCTGTAACTAATTAATGTTGAAATGTTTGCATTAGGGCTGTTAAGGCAGTTGTGTCTTTACAATCTTTTACTTTAAATAGGAGAGCCCCCTGGTGAAAATATCACCAGACTTCTGCACATCTTAGTACCATTGGCTTTAGAGGGGATACAAAAGTTTTGAAACTGTTCTCCTCACTCAGGAAGGATTTTTTTGAAAGTTTGCCTTGCTTACAAATACACATATAGCTTCAAGATACATCTACTCAAAGTTTGCAAAACATTTTAGTAGTGTTTTAAATATAAAACATGCATTAAAATTATGTTATTATGAACTTGCTTTTTAAATTGAGTGAGTTAGGTGTATGGACTTACTATTTGCACAGGTTGATTGTTGTTATAATATCAGAACATGCCAGGTAAAATGAAGTGACAGTTGAAAGTTTCTGGATACTGGAACTCTGAGCTTAGCTTTGAGTGTGAGATGATTTCATGCTGAATGTCACATGAAGCAAGAAAAATATGCCGTGGTAAATAGAAAGATAGTGAAACAGACTGTTTTGTCTGACCCCAGTTATACTTAGAAAACCGTATGTGTATTATCGTTTAAGTCTCCATGAAGTCTGTCCTGTCAAATAGCAGTGTCATAGTGTGTAACACATTTATGTAAACTGTCAGAAAACTACCTGACAAATTAGAAAACGTACATGTACACAATACGGTTCCATGAGAGATTGTTAGGTCAATGCAACTTAAAGCTAATTTAGTTATTGGCAAAAATCCAAGTGGTATGAGCCTCCCAAACTGTGCTAGACCCTGACGGGCTGATTTGACTCAGATGCCAGGTGTGGTGTGGCCAGGCCTTCCCACGTGAGGTGAAGTAAGGAGTGCTTTTTATCCAGGTGGATAGCAAGAGTGGGATCAGATGACTCAAGCAGTGGGTCCCCCCTACTCCCTTCCTTGTGTTTTGTTGGTGAAGACTTTTGAGGTGATCACCATCATTCACGAATAAGTTAAAATTCAGCATTATGACTTCAAAAAGATTGATCCCTGTGTAGGCAAAGTAATAAAATACATGTTTCTTACTCATCATGGGGAGATGCTTGAATTACTCCATCACATCTGAGTTGATTATTGGAGATAAGAGGGAAATAGAGGGAGATGTCCAGTCACTTTGACCCATCAGTTCCATTCTAGATACATAATTTGCTTCTGGCATATAGGACTGGAATATTTCTTTTCTGTTCCAGAACCTAGAATGCTCTCTTTGCACCAGCAAGTTTGGAAGTAAAAGATACTCTCCATAATTCTTAGTCACATGGGTGAATTGCTAAACAGGAGAAATATACCGAACTGAAATGGAACATCAGATTTGTACATGATGGTTGCTAAATTTGGGGCCTTTTCTCTTATTATCCATGTGAAGATTTACGACTGTTGAATACACATATTTTCTTTAGTGATTGACTCCATAAATCAGCTGGCATTTAGTCTTTGGCAATTTGTGCCCATTCAGCCATATACAGTGAAAAGCTTAGAACCTATCAGTCAGAAACCATTTCCCTTCTATTTGAAAAACTCAAGTGCTTTTATTTTGATGGGATAATCTTGCTAGAACCAGAGGCAAGAAAGGGAGACACAGAAGACAAGTCAGAAGGTAAACAGGTTAGAGTTTCAAGTAGGCCCCTGAATCTTAAGTCCAAAAGATTTTTCGCTCAACAGACTGAATATTTGGCCATGAAACCCAAGACGTGAACCTCCATCAAAGAGACTTTGTGTGTCTATATTTGTGAGCTTTTTCATGTGAGGCCATCAAAAAGTTTATGCCTTGATATAAAGGAAAGAGATCTGAGGATACCCAAGGTTGCCAGCATCACCATTTTTCACTACCCTGTTATTTGCATTGAACGCAAAAAAAAATTCTGTTTGACCTGACGAGGTAGGAATTAGCGCTAAAGATAAAAACACATTCATGAGGGTCCAAGAGCCATGGAATTTTCTTGACTTTGTTCTGTTAATATCAAACATACAAAACCAAAAATCTCCTCTTCCTTTTTCCTGACTTTTTCTTTTCCTGAGAGAATCCAAAGGGAAGAAGCTGTTGGAATCTAGATCAACCTAGATTTTATTTAGGGACTTCATAAACATTTGGGGTTTTGCTTAGGCTTATTACCTAGGCCAGGGCAGCTTGACTCAACTCTTGCTTGAACCAGGAGTTAGAAATCCCTTTTCTCTTCTGTTTTTCTGCTGCAGAAACTCTCAACAGTCCCAATGGGGGGGCTCCAGAAAGGGGTAAGCGAAGCCTTCAATCACAGTGGATTATTTTCTGATGAATATGTTCTCTTTTATTTTCTGCAGAAAGTGTCTTTATAATGCTTTTCTTTATTTTGCATCCTTTTCCTTTTCTTTTCTCCTTTTCAATTGTTTGTGCCACCTGGGGAAAGTCCGCCTTTAGGCTCCTCGGTGCACTGTCAGCTGCTCACATTTGTGTTTTGGGTATTATTGTTTGTAATTGGATGTGGTGGTACCTGAGGGGAAGATGGCTCTAGAAGGTTCTGTTTGGTGGGAGGAGCCTGGAGATAATCCATTACCATAATAGTTGTTTTGGAATGCATCCGTGTTCTTGTGTTCTACTGTTTCCCCTCCCCACGAGCGTGAAGGTTATCTTCTTTGTTTCTTTCCGTTTTCTGCAGCTGCTTTGGCTCTGCACTTTTCCTGCTTTCCTGAAATCTTTTTCTCCTTACATACAGCTCTGTTCTTTTCTCATTCCATGAAGCCAGCAGTGACCTAAGTAGCGCTCCCTTTGAAGTCTCAGGAGATTTGCATTGAGCTGATGATGTGGGGCAAGGAGAGAATGTGGCCCCAATTGAACAACTTTTGTCCTGGAGGTTTCATGCCATGAAAGAAAAATCAAAGCAGGATTAATAATATTTTAAACCAAACCGCACTTAATTCTAAGTGTTTCGTTCTTTTCCTATGTGTACACCAAACCAATCACAGACTCAAAGTAAATGAATTGCACATTTTGCTGGAGTAATCTTTGGCAGAGGAGCTGCCAGTTACAGAGAATGCCAGGGGGTGTCTGAAATTGTCTCGCTGCTATATTTCTGCTTAAAAATTGACCAGCATATATGCTAACTAAATCAACCTAGGCTTTGTCTGTTTTTTAGTTATTTCTTTATTGAGTACAGAGCACATTCTAGTTTTTCGTGAAGTTTGATATTTCTGTGTTGGACCTAGCCACATGAGGCTGTTTAAATTTAAAATAATCAAAACTAAGTAAAATAATACTTTAGTTTCTCAGTTTCCCTAGACACATTACAAGTGCTCAACAGCGCCATGTGACTAGTGGTTCCCACATTGGATAGCATAGGTACAGAACATTTCTATCATTGGACAACACTGCTAGATATCTCAAGTAGTAAAAAAAAATTTTATAAAATGCCATAAGCTTCTTATGCTTGTGAGATGTTGATTATCCTGTTGTGAGGAATGCTATTGAGTTTGTTTCGAGAATAATAAAATGCTGTATATGATGACTTGGGGAGAATCAAAGTGCTTTAGAAAGGAGATTCCCTTTTAGTTGTTCAATGACATGAGATCCTGGAAAGAGTAAAACTGAACACAGCACTTGACGCAGTCCTCCCATACTGCTTCCAGTATGACACATCAAAGGGAGACAGAACTTTGGAGCTGAAACTGATTGTGTCCAAAAGCTTAATAAATTGAGTCTTATCTTTTGGCCAGACCATGAAAAGTTAATGGGAATGTTAGTCATCAGGGTAAAAAGCTGAGTAATGGCAACTAATTCTGTGCCCCTAAAGCCTGTCAGCTGTCAGTTGAGGGGTGAGGAGTCGGAGTGTGCTGGTAGAAACATGTGTACACAGTTTTAACACCTGCAGCCAGTTCTCCCAAAAGAAGTTGTGATGTCTGAGATTCCTTAGTGGCAATCATGTTTCTTAAGCCCTGCTCTTGGGCTTGAAGGTTTCATTCTGTCTTGAACTTACTCCTGTGTCATTAGATGAAAGCCTAGGACACAGTCAATATTTAAATTACTTTTTGATTGTCTTTACTTTCGGAGGGCTGACTTTCTGTAAATTTCTAGGCTGAGAGAGACAATCTGTTGTTATAGTGGCAAGTAGAGTACAGATATTTGTTCTAAATTCTACATAAAATCATCTTCTGCCAACGTGAATGTGACCACGTGGTCTAAAATAATTCTTCAAGTTACCTAAGAATGAAAGGATATCACTTTATTTTTTGAGATCAGCTAAGATGAGGCTTGGTCTTACATTTTGGTACTAGATTTTCTTGTCGCTATGAATTCTCAACTGTTTACCAAATAAGTTTTAGTGGTCCATATTCTAATTAGTGTGGACATATACACAAAACCATAGAAACTCTGTGTATAGGGAACTGGCTAGTACACACAATGGAAGATGGAGATCATGTTATTGATGCTGTCTCTTGTGAGCCTGTGCCTTGTACAGATCCTCAGGCAGCACACGTTTGTTGATTATCTGAAAACAGGAACAGAGCATGACGGGATGTGAGAGAGCATCTAGTAAGCAGTCCGTCCTGCTTACCAGAGACATGAGAAAATAGAGAGGGAATTTGAGTGACTTGTCCAAGTTCCACAGCTAATTAGGGTCAGAGGCTGAAGCAAGACTCACCTCTCCTATCTCCCCTGTTCTAGGCCCTTCCATTCAGTCAAGCTGAATCTGCAAAGTTTTGAAAACTGTGCCATAGGTCACTGGATACCTAGCGAACACCTCTCAGGCCGGTGCTGGGCCAAGGTGATGTGTTAGAATCCTATTTGCCTTTCACTGGTATTATTTTGGTATAAGAATTCAACATAATCCTCTCTGTGGTCATTTCTACTCTTCTGTGTGTAAATCTTCACCTCTGTGACTATTAACATAAAAAGGACGGATTGACTTCTGACTATAGGAAATAAATCATCCCAACTTTTGACAGTGGAGTTAGAAAAAAAAGAAAAGATTAATTGGTTTTATTTAGTGGCTTATTGTTTATTGTGATAGCTATTAAAAATAGATAACCAGAGGCTAATAAATGTTAATGGTTCCTTCACTATTAGAAAAATCAATTGTCAGTGGATATAGCATATATAAATATATTATTTTGTTTATAATCTTCAATAATGTTTAAGAAATTCACCCCTGAGAGAATGCTTTCTTGAGGAGCCCTTTAAGGTTAATGGTTACTACCAAGAACAGATTTAGCAGGATATTTTCATTTACATGTAATTTTAATGACTTTCAAAGCATTATTTTATAATTGTAATAAAATGCATGTGTAATTTGTCAAGATTGATAAACTCCTTACCAAGGACTCTTATATATTTCTTTGAAACTTGTTTGAGAGCAGTTAGATAGATTTCTAAATGTAAGTAATTAAAATGGTATAGTATTGAGTTATTGACCAATCCTAGACTATTAATCAACCTAAAAAATTCTACAATCAGTGCTCAGTGTGCTGAAGCCTGGTAAAATAATAGTATTTGTGTTCAGTGAGGCAAATAGCCACAATTAAGCACTTCACTTGACAAATGAGAGGGTACACTTTATTTTGCACTTAATTGAATTGTTGTACATGCTCGGTCACCATTGTCTCCTAGCCCTGCATTTTGGTTTCTGGTCGTTGGATCTTATGCATTTGTTAAAGGTGGAGCAATTAAGTCTGCTTTCACCATTGGCTTTCTAAACACAGCCAGAAATGTCTGGGCCACAGACCAGGGCTTCATGAGCACTGTTAATATCCTTCATGACAGATTATTAATTTTCTTAACAAAAATTTTGATATACAAATTAGAGCCCTGTCAAGGAATGATATGAAATAGCTTCGAATAGGGAAAACTCCCCAGGTTTTATATCACTCACCAGATTCTGCTTAAGTAAGCAGAAGAACTTCTGTAGAGAAGACAGAATTTTAATCTACTTTATGAAAACCAAAAATTGATTTACTTCTCATGAGCTGGAAAGAATGTTCTCTGATAATCTTGCTAATTATCAGGTATTTGTCACAACTTCCTTCCATTTGCTTTTGCATCACAGTCATCCTTCTGCAAACATAGTGACATCCTGTCATTTCTGTGCTGCTATAAATCATTGCTCACTACCAGATTAAACTGGGGAGCTGAAGTTCAGGAAAAAGACCCAATGGATGAATATTAGTAGGGGGAGGGAGTAAGTAGAAGTCAGGATTTCTTTTACAAAGGAACAAATCTGGGTGCACATCTGTGTTCGTCTAGGCAATATTATCAGATGACCCCAAGTTGGGGTTGTGCCATAGACAGACCCTGAGACAGTTTAGTATTTATTAAAACACGCATGCAACTTGCTGGCTTGCCTGCATGTTTACCTGGCACTTAGAATAAAGGTCCAAACACCCTAGAATGACCTTGGCATCAAGAGCTTATTTCCTATGAGGACGATTTATCTTCAGTTTTCTGCACTGACAGAGATAATAACAACTGCTTTCCTTGCCCCAGAGAATTATTGTAAAGATTAAACTAGATAATTGATTTTAAAGCACTTTGAAAAGTTAGAAGTGCTATGGAATTATGAGAGACAATTACATATTTTCCCTTGTAACATTCTGCTTAATCAAATCTGTACTCGATCCTCCCAAAAGTACACTAGTATTTGTCTAGGGATGGGGAGAAAAACAAGAGAGTAGGGGTTCTTGAAATGGTGTGGTTGGTACTGGAAAGGAATATTTGTTTGGGAATGAATGTGTCTCAGCATCTCTGTGAATTTTGTTCCTATGGCAACAAGTAAAGTAATGGGAACCCAGCAGCCCAAGCTCTGTTTTAAAAACTGAGATAATGTCCCCAAAAAGTTTTGACCCTGCCTCATGGTGCTGACTTCCACTGACTCGCATAGAGAACGATGACCAGGCAGTCTCTTTATTTGTTTCAGACCTTACCAATGCGGTCACTGCTCCCAGTCTTTTTCCCAACCTTCAGAACTGAGGAACCACGTGGTCACTCACTCCAGTGACCGGCCTTTCAAGTGCGGCTACTGTGGTCGTGCCTTTGCCGGGGCCACCACCCTCAACAACCACATTCGAACCCACACTGGAGAAAAGCCCTTCAAGTAAGTAGCGCCAAGCCCTTCATCCCCGCTTTCTCTTCGCCTTTCCCGAGAACCGAGCGCAGCGCTGCCCGGCTCAGCCAGCTGGTGGAGAAGGCTATTCGGAAGGTCAGTGTCTGGGCTACAAAGGGACCTACTTCCTACTTGTTTATTTGCTGTCATTGGGAAAATGAAATCAGGAAACCTATACGCTGATCCTGGCTTGAGCTGTGTAACCTTGGACATGAGACAATCTTTCTGGGTCTGTTTTCTCATCAGTAAAATAAGGAAGTAGGAGTAAGTAATTTTAAGACTCTTTCTAGTTCCTGAGGATCTGTGCTTCTAGAACTTGAGCCAGAGTCACACAGAGTGGCTTCTCATGTTCATCAGCAAGCCTCATGGCCATCAGCAAGGTAGTCACAATTTAGGACATCTGGATAATCATCTCTTGTGGAACTTGAACCCTTTAGGATTCTGGTGAACTATTTCCTCCTCTTTCCTATGTGTTAAAGAGGTTTGAATCTATTATAGCAGCCAAATTGCGGCTTGTCAGTGTGCCCTTTGGATCTCAGAATTACCATTTGGTGAAAAAAGAAAAACAAAACTAAATACAGGGCACATCCAAGTTCTCGGGGATTCAGGGAATGCAGAAAGAGGTGGAACTGAATTCCAAGGGCTTTGGCAAAAGTAAGGGCATCTGAGTGAGAGTGTGTTTCTAGATAGAGCACCGTCATGAAAACACTGGACATCTGAATCATGCGAAGTGGCCTGTTCATTCACTCAGCCATTCATCCATGTATATACATATTCATTCATTAAGCAAATATCTATTGAGCACCTACTTTTGTACTAGTCACCCTGCTAGGCACAGGAGATACAAAGGTGAATGAAACTCAGCCCCTGGTCTTTGAAGATCTCATAGTTTATGGGGCAGCCCAATTCATAAACAAATATTACAACATAGGGTGAAGAATGTAAAAGTGAAAAATCATAAGACATATATGTACAGTGTTTCAGGGTAGCATAGAAGAGGAGTAATTAGTGCTATCTAGGGGAGATGATGTTTAAGATGTGTCTTGAAGGATGAGTGGGAGTTTTCCAGATGAACAAAGGAAAAGAGGCTTTTCTGGCAGCCCAAACAGCATGTGGAAAGGTTGGGGCGTGTGACCCAGTAGGTGTGATGGATTGGCCATATCAGAGCCGTGTTTACTCTGTGTGTGTTGGGCTCTTTTCTGTTCTGCCCTCTCACATCTTTCTCCCTCTTTGCCACACTGCCTTTCCCTGATTAAGGAGGAGTATTAAAAAGGCATAGATGTACAGCATATTTACCTTCTGCAGGGCAAGATCAAACAAGACAGGGAATAATTCAGGCAGTTGGAGACGAGTCCCCTTAGTCAGTCTCAACCAAGGAGTCTTCTTCCCAGAGTCTCATTACCCCTGATTTTCCCTCCAGAGCTGCTGGTGTGGCACACTGTTGCCATGATGCTCAGCCTGAGGCCAGGCTTGGCTTGGGGTCGCAAAGTCCTGCTGGTCTCATCCTGCTGGACTCGTCCTGCCCACCTCCACCTCAGTATCTGCCAGTAGAGGGAGGAGGTCATCACTCGCCTCCCTGCGATTTAGTTAGTTACCTTTATTCATTATTCCTAACTATTTTCATAGCGGTTTAGATATTAATAACAAAAATAGTTTTAATTTTTGTCTTTGTATGTGGGAGCAGATTCTTCATTGCATGAAAGCATCCGGCTAAGGGGAAGGATGGGGTCTAAAATCAAGACTGCACTATCCCAGCCTAGCTGTGCCCTCCGGGGCTGCAGTAGTCCAAAGGGACCCATTTTTTCTAATCCACCGCAAGGGCCGAAGGGGTTGGCATAGTCCTAGAGTTCCCTATTGCAGGTGTTTGTGTCCTGCGCCAGTGGACTTTGTCATTGCCCTCAGGTCTAGCCCTCAAGGGGTTCACAAAATTTGGCTTCACCACTGCTCTGGATGTGGAAGATGACAGTGGCACATTTTCTATGCCTTTGAGCAAGAGAGCTTTTCAAAAGCGGAGTTGCAGGAGGACTGATGATTCTCCTGGCTCCTGGACTACAGAGGGCAGCCAGACAGACACAGTGCCAGGAATCAGATTGATTTTTATCTTGTTGCTGTGTAAATAGATTTTAGAAATTAATTGAAGAGGTTTCAGGGTCAAAATGGGAAATAGATTTCTATTAATGTTAAGGTGTTACTTATGTGTAACCTTGTTGACTCCACTCAATTTTTTTTCTTTAGCATCCTGTTTTTGTCATGTTTCCAATAGAGCTGCCATTTTAACTTAATTTTAATTAATCAGATTTATATTTGAAGGGCTTTAGTAGTTGTATCTTTTTCCTCTCTGAAAGTATTTTTTGTGACCATAGCATAATTTCATCTGGAAAAAGAATATAAAGAAGCAACCAGAGTTGGTTGGATTAGATTCTATGTACATGTTTTAGTTCCTTCTACTTCTGCTTTTATTAGGATAGCCACATACTGTGGGGTTTTTTTTTTAATACATCAAGTATATATTCCCAGGAGAGAACTGAGTGTACTCTTATTTTAAAAGTGCAAGATTTAAACGTCTTCTAGGAAATGGAAAGCTAAATCTTTCAGTGTATACAACCAGATCGTTCAGGATTGAACTATCCCAAGGGAGTTTTGGGAAGCTTCCAACCATAGCTCATGGATATCCATCCCACGGACATTTGTAAATATTATGAAGATATCCTTTTACAAGCTTGTAAAGCAAACATTCAGAAAAACTTTTGTTGCAGATTAGTCAATAAAATGGGTTTCGCCACAACAGTTAATTTTACTACTTCAACTAATGGCTATTGGCTTAAACAATGTTGCAAAGAAGGAAAAGAATCTTGTAAAGATGCACAACCCTAAATTGTACGCCTTGGGTAGGTTTGAATAAATGCCCCAAATGGCTCAGTCCCCAAATTGTCCCACCTGTCCAGGGGCCAGAAGGCCTTCACAGAATTCTCAGGGGCCAGCTGAGACTGTCTGCCATGTCAGGGGAATGCCCTTTCCAACTGCTAAAATCTTCTGCTGAAACGTGGTTTTTGAAGGCAGATCAAGATTATTGCCATCCAAAGAAGGCTGGAGAAGATTTGGCATTAAGAAATCAGAGTTTCGTTCCGGGCTTTGCCTCACAATCTGATTGGCTGAAATCCCACAGAAAGACTCCAGCCCCCAAAGTCTAAGTAGTTCATGGGCCTGTCAGCAGCTAACCTAGGAGTGGACTTAGAATTTCTAAGGTAAAGGGACCCATAGGAAAAACACGTATCAAAGGATCATTTTGGAGGTCTCGGCTTTCAGTTTATACTGTAAGGCTGGAAGTCGCGGAGAACAAGGAAGAAAAGCAAGACATCATTTCATTTAACAGCAATTGCCAAGCACTTTATTAAAAAGAGGAAAGCAGGAAGGAAAGAAGGAAGGAAGGAAGGAAGCTGGCAGTCTAAAACTTACGCTTTGCAGTGAGGACTCCTTTCTGCTACTCGATTACCAGACATAATCTCTCACGATTTCAGGGAGGCCACTTTGCCTGGGAGGATCCGTGGGAGCCGCTTGTTGCCTGTGAGCTGTGCAACTTTCCGTAGGAGAGGTTCTCTTCATCTTTGTTAGAAGGGAGGGAAAATACTCGTCACTACGTTTTTGCCTTAAGTAAAGACAGTTTGGCTCAGTCTTAAAAAAAAAATTAGTGGATATTTCAAAGAGCATCTAATGTTTTTAACAAGATCTCGGCAAAATCAAAGCAAATCAAAAGAACACATCAGTAAATGTGCATTGAGCATATCATATGTATGAAACCCTGTGCTGTCTGGTTCAGGTCGAGAAGTATTTTGTGACAGGCCATAGACGCACAGACAGAAAGCTTCCTGCAGGTTTTCTGTGTAACAGAACTTGACATTGTTTGCACCTCTATCAGTTTCAGGTGGTAATTGTTAAGCTCCCTGTACCTATAATCCAGTCAACCATGACATTAAGTAATGAATGATCTTGAATCTAAAAGGAAATTAATTCTAATTAAGACACCAGGAATAGGAGAAAGTTGGGGACTTTATCTTTGCTGAAATATTTGGATGATTGTCCACTTCAGTGTTCCTGTGATGTTCTCTTCACAGCTGTGACGTCAGCACGATGAGGAGGACCCTGTGTGCGGGAGCATTTCTTTGCTCCCAGCTCATTACCCTCATCTTTCTTTCCTTCTTGTTCTGTTACACCACATGAAGCCCAGGCTTATAGGTACCCTTGCCCAGTCACTCAACTGGGATTATAGTTCAGGGTTAATTAAAAGCCAACCCTACTGAAGTCTTGCTCTGACCTGCCAGAACCTAGGTATTTGCATTGAGTCTGTCCTTCTGGTGAGTTTCATTAAGCTATGAAGATAACTTTTGAAGGGGATTTTTCTAATATTACAGATGATAAACATAAAACTGAGGCCCTTCCCTTACTTTCAAAAAATATCTTTATATTTAGCTCTGTTTACTTCCTCAGTTATACGAATTGTGTTCTTATCATTCCCAACCCACACAGATATTATTTCTAGTAGCCCACTTTCCTCAAGAAGGGGGAATTCCTAGGAAAAGGATCTAAATTAAGGTAATTTTCTATATATCTGCATGTGTTTTTCCTCACACTTGGTGAGCAGATGGCACTAGAGATGATTTTTCAGAGATCACCTCAGGTACCCTATAGATCAGACTTAGTAAATTTCCTGACTATTACAACAAATTGTTTCATGAGTGTAAATATCCATGAGGCATTAAGGCAAATACTTGAGAAAAATGTAACTCCCCTCTTAATGTCTCTGTCTAATCTGGATATTTAAATATTACACATTACATGCACTTTTGTGTTATATGAAGCACCAAACATCCCACTTATGAGCTCCTTATATTCTAATAAACAAGATTAGAAGTGCAAAAGCTTGAGCCAGGTAAATAGTCAGTCCTCCTAATTGTTCAAACTATTCTCTCTTTGAAATTGATTCTGGAGCTTCAAAATTTAAAAAAAGGAATATAATAACTTGAAAGTTCGTCAAGCAGTGAAAGGTAGTATATTTTGACACGCTGATCCAGTAACTAATCAGTTTTCTAATAAACAATCAGCAATTCGCTAACATGTCATCGGCACTTCAGGAGCTCTGGAGAGGGGATGAGCTGCCCGTGGACGTTAATGAATACACCAAAAATCATTAGCTGATCAATACTTCTGAGTTATTTTCATTGAGCTGATAGGTCTGATACATTAAAGCTGACATTATACATTTGTCAAGATCACAGTGCAGTTTTTAACAGTGGAACAGGCTGCTAAAAATATTCCCTGAAAGACAACCAAAGAAACACAACTTCTTCACCCTGACACACTAGCTGGCGCAGGAGCCCTGGAAAACCCCAGTGTGACAGTCAAGCTCTAGTCTCCCAGCACTCAGAAATATGCCAGAATCCCCAAAGGAGGTGGACGTGTTCTATTTTTATGGTAATTATTTCTGTATCTAGGCACTTTGTATAATTTGCAAAACAGGAGAACGAGAGGACTGGCCACCAGATAAGGGGGCACGTAACATCTGATGGACACTTTGGACTTTCTCATGCTGGCTTTGCCACAGCCCCAACAGTGCAGGGGCCCCAGAACCAAGGGTTGCACTATTTAAAAGAGGGACAGTTGTCTGCAGCTCTCCTGAATATCTTTTCCTTCAAAGGTTTGAGGAGAGGACATTAAGGGGATGGCTGAGGTGGCCGCTGTGCCCTAAAGGGTGCTCGGCCAGTTGTATAGGCAGCCCAGAAGAGCAGGGTACTCACTGTCTATGCCCAGCTTGCTGCCACAGCTCATCTGTGTGTGTGTGTGTGTGTGTACACATCAGACAACCAGCCAGGAACAACCACTGCCGAACATCTAAAGGTGTGTGTGGTTTTTATAGACTGAGAACCCATCGAGCTAGGAAGTGTACATTGTGTGGGAGATGGGTCAGGCCCAGGGACTCTAGATTATAAATTTGTTTTTTAAGTTAAGGAGAGGAGATATTCTTGAAGTGTGAAACCCGTTTTCTCCTCGTCAGACACACTGGCCCTTAATTATGGTCCCACAAGTACATTCTTTCTACTGTGTTTCTGGAGAAGTAAACTTCTTGGACCACACAAACATTGGTTGATTTGGGGTTTTTCTGAGCCCCCTACCCCACCACAAATGCTGTTTTAGCCGTAAGTTTGACTGGGCTGGGATACCCTAACTAGCTTTTGCACCAAAACAACCACCCACCCCCACCCCTATAGTCACTGCAAACTAACGTATTGCTTCCTCTAGTTTCCAAATTCAGAGTTGATAGCGCTTTGGCTGCTGTGCTGAGGGGAGTAGAATTCTCGATTTTAAATTAGCAGCAGGTGAAATTCTATTTGTCATCAATTTCTCTTTGGGGTTACGGAGCCGAAAACTGCAGACAAGCGGCTGCTTTGATGGCTCACTCCTGAAAATCTCTTTTTGTTCTTTATCTATTTGAACTGACAGTGATCAGAGCTGCAGCAGGACAGGGTCCTCTGGAGAAATCACCTTCCCCCTGCCTATTGACAGATCCCTCTGTTCTGCCTCAGACGGGCTTTGTCCCATCACAGGCCTCCAGGCCTTGGAAGGAGCCACCAATTAAACCTCTTGAGCCGGTAAAATCTGAAGCCACTTTGGAGTGTCTGTTCTGATTAGGCAGGATGAGAGGAAGCCCATCACCCTGCAGGCCCCGCTCCCTGGTCTCAATTTTCTCTCTTGCCTCCACCAGGTGCGAGAGGTGTGAGAGGAGCTTCACGCAGGCCACCCAGCTGAGCCGACACCAGCGGATGCCCAATGAGTGCAAGCCAATAACCGAGAGCCCAGAATCAATCGAAGTGGATTAACTGATTGACTGGTTGGAATTAAACTGCAAGGAAAGTCATGATTAAATGTCACGGACACTTAAGCAAAACCAAAGATTTCCTCTGAGCAACTTTCAATCAGTCCCAGAAAACCAAAAGCAGTAATAAAATAAGTAAGATGTTAAGAGATATTGATCCTGGCATGGAAGTCAGACCAGGAAAGAGATTATTTATTTATGACTAGGGATGAGACTTATTTCAGTGGACAACTAACCTGGGATGGCTAACGTTTCCAGTCCCACCATGTATTTGCTTTGTTTCTAAAAAGCTTTTTTAAACTGTTATTTAATACCAAAGGGAGGAATCGTATGGGTTCTTCTGCCCACCGTTGTGACTAAGAATGCACAGGGACTTGTTTCTCGTTGCACCTTTTTTTAGTAGCATGATTCAAGGGGACCCACTGTACAGTCCTTCTTCCTGCCATTTCGGTGTGGCCTGGCCTGATGCTGGCTGCCCCAGCGGGGACCACGGAAGCAGAAGCGAGAACCTTCGCTAAGTCAGTGCCATCTTCAGCCTCACGGGCATTCCATTTCTGTGTTTTCCACGCTCACTTCTCATGCACTTTTCACGTGGCTCCTTCTTTCCGGCAGCCCGATCTTGAGGCAGAACAGCCTGGAAGAGGAAGAAGATAGTTTAAATTTCAAAATTCAAGGGAAAAATACTTTGTCCTGTCAGGATTTCAAAAACATGTAAAACGTAACGGAGCTTCATAATACAGTATATTGTTCCCAAGTGGCTAGTTGAGAAAATTTTGTTTTCAATAACATTTTAGCTTAAAAAAAGAAAAACAAAAATAAAGTTCTTCGGTATGAGGCTGACCATAAGGTATTAGGCTTCAAGTAATTTTTTGGTGTGTCTGTGAAAGTGTTGAATATGTGAGGGAAAATAGTGCCAGCCCCATTCAAGGTCCTTTTAGGCAGTTTCATCTTCCTTCCTCATGCAGCGGAAGCCTGGGAGGCCCCTTTACTCACTCCTGAATGTGGGGGGAGCCTTTCTGCAAAAATAGGTGAAAATAGCCCAGACAAGGAAACACTGAGAGGAGGAGCCACAGAGAGGACTGCCGTTAGAACAGGCTGCCCAGAAACAGCTCATTTTATCGGTAGGAATTACCTTTTCATCTCCTCTGGCCCTTGATAGTGTTCTTCTCTCAACATTAATCATCGAAAGAGAAAGAATTCTATACACAATTTCACTGTTCTTTGACCAAGTGCAAGGAAAGTGAGCGTAACTTCAGGAGCCTTTTGGTAACTCAACAGTGGTGCTCAATAAAATTGGGTCACGTTTCATGAAATGAGCCAACATCAGGAAGAGCTGTCAGCTCCTGGACTCTCGTCTGTTAGCTCCCAGCAGCAGCTCAGAGACAAGCCTACCTGACGGCCAGCGTAGTTAAACTCCACAGTTTTATCTAGAGTGCTCCACAGCAGCAATCTCTGTTTGAATTTCTTGGATTTCCTGATAGCAGGACACAGTCCTTTAAGGAACTCCTTGTCTTTTAGCAACCCCCCCCCCCCATTGTCTTTCCTTAACAAAAATATGAGACATGTAAATGAACTGGCTATGAAAGGCAAAGATACTACATGATTCAGTTTAATCTGTCATCACGTATTCGGTTCTCAGAAAATCTTCCTTCTCTTTTAATTTTCTTCCCTATCCCTTAGCACCCAACTTCCCAGGGCCTCACTAATTGTGTTTGTAATTTATTTATATCTGTATATGTCAAAATAATCTCTAAGATTATGGGCCCCAAAGAGGAACCTGGAAAATTCTGACCTCCATTGCCCAATCTCAAGTCACTCACCTTGAATTTCCCCCGGGTTCTTGTTGGCTCCTTGTCACAGAAGTAGTAAGCAATCTGTGCTGCTATGTAACTGTTGCTGATTGAAAATATTTTCTCTGGTAGATAGGAATGTATTCTGATTTTATAATTCCTTGCCCTCAGTGATGAAGACATTCACCAAAAATGTGTGCCATTGGAAGGGCGGAAGGAGCATGTAGCCATACTAACCCAAAACCTGCGAGAAAATGACAGATTGGCTACACAGACGAGCAAGCTGTTTCATTTATTAAGGTTGAAACATTTGGTTGTACTTTTTGAAAATTATAATAAGGGACTCACCTGTATGTTTCTAATACTTTTTTCAGTGAGAAAAATCTGTTCTGCCGTTTGTTTCCTTTCACAATTGAACACAGTGCACCCCATTCAGTTCTCGTGAGCTCCACATGCTAGAATGAGAAGCCTTCACTCTGTCTTGATATCTGGTATGGGAAGAGTTTCCATAATAATAATCTCTTCCTCTCTAATGGTTTTGCCAGCTGATCCCAAAGTCCTACTTAATGTGGCAGTAACTTCTATACCAAAAGATTCTTCAAGCCTTCTGCTCCATTTAAGTCTGTTTTCCACTTTTATTAGTAAGGGAGATTTTGGAATGTATTTTCCACTAAATTTGGCCAGAAAATATTTTCTACCTAACAAATAGAAAATTGGGAACATTCACAGTTTTTGCATTACTGAGCCATTGCCAGCTTCCAGCAGACCAGCCCAGGCTGTCTGTTCATGAGATGGGCCTACACTTGCAGATTGGGTTGGAGACTGAAGCACATACTGAGATTACTTGGGTCCCAAATGTTTTTAATTGGAGTATGTGCTGGGGAGAGGTTTCTCCTTAAAACCTCTCAACAACTGCTTTCGCCTTTTCTATTTAAAATTGACAGATAGTCACTTGGGACACTGCAAATGGGTGGTAGAAAATGCAGTCACAAAGATTTGCCAGTCTCCCTTATTAGCAGCTTCCTAATTAATCACGGTGCAAAGAGAATAGCTCTGACTTATTGAGGAAAGGGGAGGCTATCAGAGCTGAGTAGTGTTTCGCTCCTGAAGCCATCCCTCTTTGCCCTTTTCCTTCAATGGGGACAGATTTTTTATTTTCCAGATTAGATTTAGCATCCTAGCACATGCTTGTTTGTCTCGCTAAGAGTCTAAGCCAAAGGATAGTGCAAGGTGGGGCTGCAGACATCACATTTCTAGAAAAATCTCAGTAACCTTAGGCAAAGCAGAACATTTTCCCTAAGCAATGTGCATGAATTTTTAAGCTTTTCATTTTGGTTCTCTTTATCTTTAAAAATGACTTTTTTAGGGGGGATATGCTTTTATACAGTTATTGTATGATAATTAAAGCTGTAAAACTAAATCTTGTATAATTGATATAATTTGATTCAATTAGTAAATATTTATTGAATGTCCATTCAAGTGTAGTCTTATGGAGGAAACTGTGTATAACAGAAAAAGATTATGATACACTCTGTCCTCAGCGGGCTTACAATTTATTATACCTTGGAAAAACTTCATTCTAGTCCAGATGTATGAGGATTTACCAATATTTACCAAATCATCAAATTTTTTCATCAGTTGATTGGTTCATTGTTTCATCCATTTATTCAACAAATATTTATTGAACTTTTGTTTTGTATAAAGAGCCCATTTTAGATGTTTGCCATAAGCAGCTTTATTTAAGTGACTATTGGTAAGAAAATAATATTCCTGCAAGTGGCTGACTGATAGCATGGGTATTTTAGTCCTTTGGACTGTTGTCTCAGTGAACTTACAGAGATTACTGCAACTGGGAGAATCAGAAAGATGTAAACTCAGCTGGGGACCAGAAGGTAACAAATTTCAAAACAAATTAAGATGCACAACTTGATTATCTTTGGTTGACTCACTGGGCTGTTGGTTCTTAGCAACAATATAGAGATACTAGGATTAGGGCCAGAGTCTTGGAGTTTTTATGACCCTATTCCAGTGATAAGGCAACAAATGGAGAGAGGGCTGGAGTTGCTCAGGGAAGGAACTCTGCAGACCCTGCATGGGTCTGAAGGGCCTCATTAGTGACAAGCCTTGACAATGCAGCCCCTGTCCCCATTGTGTGGCTGTGGTGCTCTCAGAGTTGAGGGTCTCCTAAATGGCACTCAGAAGCTTCAGAGAACGCTGTCAGAGTAGATATCCACCACTGGTTTAAAAATAGCAGTTGTTTGGTTAAGTTTGTTTTTGAACCTCGCTATCAAGCTCTTTATGCACTAAAACAGGAGGATCTTCTTCTTCAGTGGCACCACCTCCAAGGCCCCAGATCTCTGGTACATCATTGCAAAGCTAATTGCTAGTAATTGGTTATAAGAGTTATTCATGTAAGAAACCAATATTTAATTGCTTTTCATAGCAGAAGTAGCATCATTACTGTATTTGTTTTGCACTAAATTAAAAAATCAAATGCAGGTATCTGTTGAGTTGTTTAAAATGGGAAACATGGCACATCTCACAAGTAAGGCATTTCCAGAACAGCATGGGGTCAGTGGGTCACCCTGAGTAGGCCCAGCAGCCTTGTGTTTAGGGGCAAATCTGTCATTCTCATATTAAGACTACATACGCCTGTAGAAACCAGGCCAGCAATAACAAATAAACTCAATAAAACACGTTTTCAAAAAAGTTAGTATCTATTTTCCTTCCTTGATGTGAATTTAATCTTATTTCCCATAGCCTTTACCAATTGCTGACACCAAATCCTGAAAGATACTAAGAGATATGCTTCTTTCAGTGATAACAGTAGGTTCCAGAAATGTCATTCATTTGTCAAGATCCTTTCAAGGTGAAGAGGTTTGGAGACATTTTACGAAGTGACTAGATGTTTGGGTACTTATCCTCCCAAGAGTTTGAGGTTTTCCCGTCACTAACACTTATCTGAACAACCACAAAATAACAACAGAGAGTCCCAGGAAGAGCCACATATTTCAAGCCTTCTCAAGATTAAATTCTACAAACCCAGGATCAGCTGTCAGGTACAACTGACCAGAGAGAGCCGGACTGAACAGAATATTGCTTTATCTGTGGAAGCCTTGCTACTGATGTTTAACTTGTAATCCGTGGTTGTGTTTAACATTTAAGATATTTAGTTAGTGTTTCTTTGAAGTAACAGATGTCAGATGTTTCATCAGGTCAATATGAAAAATGATGAAAAACAAAATTGGTGAGAAAACAGGGCGAAGACGTAAAACTATTGAATTGTCTTCCCTACATATTGAGATGCTACCATTGTACTTAGAATTAGAAAAGAAATTTGTTGAGTAAATTTTGACAGAAAAATAAAGTCTGAGCTTATTCCCTCATATGTTGAGGGATGATGATAATGATAACAACTTATATTGTACAATCACTGTCACGCACTGTTCCAACTGCTTGACAAGGACTATCTAATTTAATCCTCAATAACTCTGTGACAAAGATACCATCATTATCTCTCTCATATATACTTAATCTTAGCAGCTTCTTTACTTTCTCCCCCTCCAAAACCACGTGACAGTAATTTTTAAAAGGAAAAGTATTTCTTCATTCAAAGCTTCTTTTTGAGAGCAAGAGCTTTTTAAAATAAATAAGCACAAGTGTAATTTATTTATAAAACATGTTTGTGGAAATAATACTAAACTATTCTTACAATACGTATCATTGTAGTTGCTGATTTTGCAATCTCCGAATCTGTGCTGCTAGACAGCAGAATTTCCAATATCCCATTGCTGGCAGGCATTGTTTTTGGTTTTCTAAACATGCAACTAAAATTCCATGTTAAAACAAAAACAAATCCTCTCAAGTGTGTGATACACGTAAGGGACAAATGGCGACAGACAGGAAGGCAGGTTATGTTGGGCAGTAGCCAAAAGGGAACCAGGCTTGAACACTAGTGACAAGTGAAAACACCTCCTGAATGGGGCTAAGTGAAATCTAGTTTTCTTTCTTTGTTCTGACTGAATGCTAAATGAGTTACTTTTCAGGCATCAATGGAG